CTCTTCTCATTCTGAGGTAAACACTTACCTTAAAAGTACATGTTTAGAGGGACAGGAGAGATGGCTCAGTGGTTAAGAGCACTAGCTGCTTTTCCAGAGGACCTGAGTTTAGTTCCCAGCACCCACATGGCAGCTAACAACCATCTATAACTCAGTTTCAGGGGATCTGACACCCTCCTCTTGCCTCCACAAGCTAACAGACAACATGGGTGCACTTACATACATGCAGGCTAAATACTCTACCCATAAAGACTAGATACTGTAAATAGAGTGTTATTCTAATTTGTTTTTGAAAATGTGTTTAGAGGACAAGATTGGAAGGGCCCTCCTAGCTATTCACAGAGGTCTTGAGGCAGTATGTGAGAGTGATTTCAATATTCCTATTCAACATAACCCGTGATAAATTGTTGTTATGGTCATCTCCTGAGCCCTTGTGACATCCAAGCATCCTGCTGTGTGCCTCACATGCACTGTGATATGGAAAGTTCCCTCAGCCCTCTGAGGAAGTTATCACTATGATGTGAACCCATTTTAACAGATGAGGAAATGGAGATTCAGGAGAGGCAACACTACTTCCCAAAGCTCTGCTATGGCTTGGTGTGTGTGTGTGTGTGTGTGTGTGTGTGTGTGTATGTGTGTATACACATATGTGCACATCATATGGAGGCCAAGGTCACTTGGTATCTTCCTGGATCACTCTTCACCTTACTTTTTGAGACAAGGTCACTTACTGAAACTGTTTACCAATTGGGCTAGCCTGGGAACCAGCAAACCCCAGGAATTCTCCTGTCTCTCTCTCTCTCCCAGCACTAACACAAGAGATGTACACTGTCATGTTCAGCTTTTATGTGGGTGCTGAGGATCCAAACTCAGGTCCTGATGCTTGAAAAGCAAGCACTACCCACTTAGCTATCTCCCCCCCCATGACTTGTTAAACAACAGCCTATTCAAACAGACTTGTTTTTCCTGTAACAAACCACAGGGCTATTCATCAGCCTGAAACATCTTGAAAATGGCAGCCACGTAGACCATCCTGTGTGGAAAGGGTATGCACAGAGGCATCCAGCCTGCCAGGGGCCCTTGACTTGCCAGCACATAGTGAGACTGGGATGCCAGTCTGTCCCTTCCAGAGACTGAAACGTTAGAGGAAGGAGAGTGAGGAGCCTAGACAGTTACATTCTGAGCAGTGGGGGGTGGGGGTGGGGCTGCCCAGAAGGCACAAAGAAATGTCACACTGCCCTGTCTGTGCCTGTGAATTGGGTCCCCACACAGGCAATTGCTGTTAACAACTTCCAGTTTTTGGAGAGTGTTTCTCTCAAAGATCTTCACATTCAGAAGAATACAAGTGGGGCCCCGAAATTTGTTCTTCTTATACCTACCTTTTTTTCAATTAATTTTTACACCTGCCTTTTTGTAACTAACATTATAATGAGGAGGAAAAAATGCATACAGGCCTTGTTGATATTTTAGAAGAATTGTTCTTGAAGATACGGACGAGTTTGGGAAGCAATGAATAATCTTATTGCCCAGGATCCCGCTGCAATTGCCATCCTCTTCCTTTCTAGTCTGGTGTTTGGCAGAAAAGGCCCTAATACCCAAAGGGCCCTGTGAACAACAGGAGGCCCTCAGGCTCAGCCCTGACCAGTATTGCGTGTTTCCAAGATTGGGGAGACACTTAAGCTATTTCGACTCAATTTGGGCAATTTCTATCAAGTCACCTGGAATTGTTACCAGTCAGAGCATGGGGCATTTCTATTATGCCTACTGTCCTTATCACTTATCTAGAAAAGTAGACTGAGCATGTTGTAAAGACGGGAATTCTGGCTATGTGACTCACAGTAGCATCTGGTCATGGTAATGGGGATAAAGACAGCATTCCTATGACAATTAGGATTGACATTGCTCTGCATTTTTTCCATGTACGGTTTGGTTCAGAGGTGGTGTTATTTTATTGTGTTTTACAGATGAGCAAACTGAGGCTTCACGGCCTGCCAGGTTGAAGGCTGCACTTGGACCCCTGTAGTCGGATGGGTCCTCATGCTCTCACTGGCTTCCAGGGAGCGCCTCACAGACACCCCTGACAACAGTGACCTCTGAAACACTCAGGGTTACCTGATGAAGATGCAGAGTCCCAGGCCAGAGCTGAAGGATCAGAATCTTTGGGAAGGGAGCCAGAAAATCCTCATCACTTAACCACTAAGTCTGGTTGTTCACTGGTGCGCTGAAGTTTGTGGAACACAGCACTCAGGTATGTGGCACCCCTCACTGTGACTCCGCACTCACTACCACTGCTTTCCTTCCAAATAAGAAGGAAAGAAGAAAAAGAGGAGGAGGAAAGGAAATAAAGGACGGAAGGGGAGAATGAGAGAGCAAAAGAAGGAGAAGAGCAAGGGCAGAACTGTCCCCAAATTGGGCTTCATTTTGGTTCAGGGCAGGTCCAGCCAAGCCCCCAGGTATTCTGGCTTTAAGGCCTACAACAGCCTGTGTCCCTCAGGACTGACAGTCCTGTGAAACCCAGCATGAGGCCCCTCCGTAGCCTATCATGCCTCTTTCCAACTCCCATAGCACCAGTGGGGAGGTGACAGCTCCACCTAGGCTTCAAAGCAATGTTTTTTCCTAGCAGTAGGGATACCATGGCATGGGGTCCCTTGGCAGTCCCCAGAAGCAGTCAGTCTGAAGACAGGGAGGGTTCGGCTGATAGGACCTGTGGCAGGAAGGAGAGGTGGAGACCATGGCTCCACATACACTGCAGGAGAGTAGAACAGTAAAGAAGACTCTGGGCACAGGGAGAGGCTGGAGGCTGGGGCTGGTGGTCTTCTAGGAGAGGCAAGGACTCATGACTCGTTCTCATCTGCAAGCTATAAGGCCACTGAGTGGCTTGGTTTCCATATTTCTGAAAGGAAAATAACCATTTGTATTAGGGTTCTCTAGAGAAAAGAACTGATTTTACATAGGGGGTGCCATATATATATAACTTACTACATCAGCTCACATAGAAATAGTAACACCTGTCTCACATCTGAATGGCTCCAAACCCAGTGGTTGCTCAGGCCTTGAGGCTACGTGCCTCAGCAGTCCCAATCTGGCAACTGAAAATCTGGAGGGTTCCCGGAGAGCCAGTCAGTGTTGGAGCCTGGAAACTCTGATTCTGGTATCAGTGAAGGAATCAGCAGTAGCAATGAGGTAAACTAACTCCTTGGTGAGAGGGACAGCTGGGAGAGTAAAAGGCAAATAGTCTTCCTTCTGCCATGCCCTTTGTATCTGAGCTGCTGCCAGAAGTTTCCACCTACATTTGGGGTGGGTCATCCCTTATCAGTTAAGTCAGTCAGGACAATTCCTCAGTTGGGACTCCCTGCTCAGGTGATTCTAATTGTGGCAAGTTGACATTAAAACCATGTTATTAATGAAAGTTTGTACTGCTATCTGTGATTGGTCCCCTTCTTTATGCATGGACCCAGTTTTTTCAGAAATACTATAAAGTCATTTTGATCTCCACTTGTAACAGATGAAGAGCTGTGGTAAAGTTAAGAAACTTGTCTAGCACTTTCTAGCAGGTAACCAGTAAAGACAGGTTTGGTCCCAGATCTGTGTGATGCCAAGGTTTACCTTCCTAATCAGTCCTCATAGCTCCTCCAGCATTCCTGACACCTGGTTTCTATGACTCTCTGTCCCAATAGGAAGAGACATTCACAATTTCAGAGAGATGAAGTAACACTGTTCTCAGAGCCCCATAATCTAAGCCTCTATGAGAAAAGTGCCAGTTAGTTGGTAGATCTTGGAAGGTTCTGGCAAAGACTCAGCAATGGGAGACTTGTACACAAAGGATCCCAGCGGTGCCTTGCAAGTAGATCAAGTCTCAGCTTGCTAGATAAAGCCAGAATCAGAAACACCGATCCTAGTGTGGTTACCTGCTTTGCTAATGTTTAAACTGAAGAGATCAGCAACTTTTAAACCACAGAACTCCCTGAAAAAGCCAGGCCCCTGAACAAGTCCCCCACTATACTTTACATCCTACTATTTCCCCATCACTTATACCTACTTCTGTTCTTCAAATGGGCCAAGCTCATTCCTGCCTCAGGGCCTTTGCATTGGCCATGACTTCTGCTGAAAAATATTATGTCTCCTGCTTACATGCAGTCTCCAGATTGTCACAAGCCTTCCTCCGTCTCATCATTTTCAAATCAAGACATACACCTCCTTGGGGAGGCCTAAATTGATTTCCACGAATCCCTCTCCCCGCTTAGCAGCCTCTGAGACTGTCTTACTCATTAAGTACTATGGGCTAGAAAAGTACCCAGCAAAGAGTTGACTCTCAGTGAACATGTCCTGGATGGGTGGACAAAGGAATGAATAGAGGCACGAGTAAGAAATCTTACTGATTTTTATAGTAATAAGGACCAAAGAATCTGCATCTGAAAGAGTCCCCTGCTTCTAGTTAACAAGGGCAGAGACCAGAGATATAACACTGTGCTTGGTAACACCTTAACAACCACGCAGCAGCTCTGTCCACACACATTGCTGGGAATGGTTCCAAAGCTAAAAGGCACTAATTGCTTTTCTATAAGGAGATAGGACTGCAGTCCCTCCATGCCCCTTAGTTCAGACGCTCTGCATTGTCGGATCTGTTACCATGATAATTGGCGTTGTCTCACACAGCCTGTTCAGGCTTTACTGTGCATGTATCTGGGACCATGACAGGCAGAGAAGAGAGGTGATACTGAGGAAGTGTGTGTGTGCGTGTGTAGTGTTGAGTGTGTGTGTGGTGTGTGCATGTGTGTGTGCGTGTGTGTATGCATGTGTGTGTATTTGTGTGTGTGTGTGCGTGTGTGTGTGTGTGTGTGTGTGTGTGTGTGTAAAGACACAGCCCCACTCTGGGAAGGGTTAATATGCAGTCAGACTGTCTGTGCTCAGGGCCTGAGACCAGCCCAGGAGAGGGAGGGGTGGGCCTGGAAGGTGAAGCAGGCTTGGTTTGTACTGGCTGCCTTCTCCCCACAGGAGTGCAAATGCTTGCCCAGCCAGTCTGAGGATGGTGAACTCAAGTTGCTTTTAGGAATGGCTGCAAAGCCCACACCTGGAAATCCCTCCTCCCTGCCTGTTCTGGGCAGGTTGCATTTGGGAGAGGAATAAGCCGGGAGCGAGCCATTCACCAGCACTTGGTAGAAAGCAGCGGGCGAGGATGGACGTGGTCGACAGCCTCCTTCTAAACGGGAGCAACATCACTCCCCCCTGCGAGCTCGGGCTTGAAAATGAGACTCTTTTCTGCCTGGATCAACCCCAGCCTTCGAAAGGTAGGTGCCAGAAGCTATTATATGAATTCAGAGAACTACTGAGTTGAGGGAAAACAGCAATAACAAAGTCACTGTGAAACACAGATGAAGTCGTATATTCAGAAGTTTGGATAAAAGATCCAGAGAAGTCTACAGTTATTATTCTTATTGTTCCCATGAGAGAGTTGAGAGGTGTGTATGTGTGTGTGTGTGTGTGTGTGTACATGTGCACATACATGATTACACCCCTAACAAGGAGTGGAAGGTGCTTCTGGGGATGTGGGTCATGAAACTGACCTGGGCTGGATAAAATCTGTAGCTTTCTGCTCATGCCAATCACAATGATGGTTAGAAAAAAGGCCACAAGAGCTCATTTTTGTAGTACTTTTTATGTACCAGATGTTTTGGTAAACAAAAAACTTCCATGACCTTATTTTAACAGCTTGGAGATATTCGTCATGTGTTCCTTGGTCCCCTCCATCTGCCACACTGCCTTGTTCCTTGTCCATTTTGAGAACTCACTGGGCAGGGTAGGAAGTTGTGTGTGTGTGCATGATTGGGAAGAGAGTGACAAAAGCAATGGGAGGAAGAGCTGAGTGTGGCAGAAAGGGGTGCAAGTGTGAAAGTGCGAACTTACAAGCATGACAGAAAAGGTGCTGTCACAATGTAGCGTTTGCCTTTTCTTGAGGGAAACCCAGCGTGAAGAAATAATTAAAGCAAAATAATGCACTTAGCCTCTGAGAAAGAAAGCCGTCACTAGGCAGGAGCATAGTCTTTAAGAAAAAGTGGTTTCCTGAGTGATCCATTGACAAATCAGCCTTCAGCACCTAGAGCTCTCCCTCCTTGGTTTGTTCCTGCAGGATGTGGCCAGAGCAGGAATACTCTGCAGTGATGCACACCCCCTGGGAGACACTGTCACTCCCTTGGGGAGCTGAGGTTTTAGTTCTGCTCTCCTAACCCCATCCCTCCCCTGGTCCCTGTTATTCTGCAGAGTGGCAACCTGCCGTACAGATTCTCCTGTATTCTTTGATATTCCTACTCAGCGTGCTGGGGAACACGCTGGTCATTACGGTGCTGATTCGGAATAAGAGGATGAGGACAGTCACCAACATCTTCCTGCTCTCCCTGGCTGTCAGCGACCTCATGCTCTGCCTCTTCTGCATGCCGTTCAACCTCATCCCCAACCTGCTCAAGGATTTCATCTTTGGGAGTGCCGTTTGCAAGACTACCACCTACTTCATGGGTGAGCTGCTGCAGGTGGAAATGGCAGGGCTCACTCCACACCCCACTCAGCCTGGGCCTTTCCTAGCCCTTTGACAGTCAAGGTGGAGGGCCCCTACTGGGTTCTAAAATACAAATATCTGGCCTTGTGGGCCTATGTGCAAGGACACAGGTGTTGTGTTTAGAGCAGAGCAGTCCTCCTGCATGCCCGGAAGTCTGCGTCAGAAGTTGATACTGAGATACAAAAGGAGTAGAGTAGGCTTGCAAAAGGACAGGCTTCCACAGGTGGCCTCAAGCCACTCCATCCCTTCCTGGAAGAAGTTGATTATACCCCAGTGCCCTCCCAACTTCGATCAGGGCTTATTGGGCTGCAGAGAGTGCATTGGAGCAGGGCACTTTGGCTCCTTGGTTTTGTCAGGGAGTGGAAGCTATTTTAAACCATTCATCCAAGGTCTAGTTTCTCCTCTCAGGATTCGTTTCCCAGACCGTTCTCATAAGGCTTGGGGGCATCTCAGGCCAGAGGTGTGTGTATGTGTGTACATGTGCACATACATGATTACACCCCTAACAAGGAGTGGAAGGTGCTTCTGGGGATGTGGGTCATGAAACTGACCTGGGCTGGATAAAATCTGTAGCTTTCTGCTCATGCCAATCACAATAATGGTTAGAAAAAAGGCCACAAGAGCTCATTTTTGTAGTACTTTTTATGTACCAGATGTTTTGGTAAACAAAAAACTTCCATGACCTTATTTTAACAGCTTGGAGATATTCGTCATGTGTTCCTTGGTCCCCTCCATCTGCCACACTGCCTTGTTCCTTGTCCATTTTGAGAACTCACTGGGCAGGGTAGGAAGTTGTGGGGGGGGGGTGCTTTCTTATGATCCAAGTCTTGTAAAGAAGGCAGCATTGAGTTAGGCTAGAACAAGTCTTCTGTAACCAGAAAGCTTTAAAAGCCTTTCATTTTCCCTGTTGAACGAGCAGGATCCAACACAGACAAATGATGACAAATTATTAACACTTGTGCCCCAGATAACTAACCTAGAAGATGACATCTGTGTTCAGGTTCTCTGAAAATACCTTTGTTAAGCTTTACAAATAAGAAATGTCATGGTTAGATAATGAAGCAGTGTTAAGGCCTAGCATCTCATGGTGTGTTAGACTCCCACAGCCGGACTGTGCATCCTATGGTCACAGCCCTGAAGCATCTTTGCTGGCCAGAGTGTGAAAGGACATTTAAAGCAAGTGCTGGCAGGGTCACATGGTGCTGTGAACACCCTGGAACTGTGCTTTAAATGGTCAATTCTGCACTATGCAAATTTCACCTCAAAAACAATTTTTATTTAAAATTTTTCTTTATTATTATTTTATGAGTGTATTGTCTGCATGCAAGTGAGTGCACCCGTGTTGTGCAGCACCCACAGAGGTCAGAAGAGGATGTCGGATCTCCTGGAACTGGAGTTACAGATGGTTGTTAGCCTCCATGTAGGTGCTGGGATCCGAATCTAGGTCCTCTGCAAGAGCAGCCAGTGCTTTTAACCACTAAGCCATCTATCCAGTCCCTCAAAAACTATTTTTAGTAGCCAAAGTAACCAACAAGATAATTCTGAAAGTATTTGGAATGTCATATGACCTTGTTAAGTTTCTTTTTTATTTCATTCTTTGCTTTGTAGAGGGCCTCTCTATTGTCCTGGCTAGCTTGGTAACTAACTGTACAGTAGTTCAGGTTGAATTTTAACTTGTGATTCTCCTGCCTCTGCCTCACAAGTGGCAGAATTAGACATGTGCCCCATCATGCCTAGGGCTTTGTTGAATTTTTATTTCCAGTGATTTAGATTATTTTCTGGATTTTGTGGTCTCCTCAGTACAACTGCTAACAATGAACACTCATTGAACACCCAATTTGTAGAGGAAAAAAAGGTGCTTGTCTGACAGTGGGTTTATAGTGGCTGTGAACCCACTGCATAGAGTAAGCTCCATGGAGCTTAGATCTAGCCTTCCAAGTCTACCTGCTGTCTTCTCTTTAGGGTGAGGTTCAGTAAACACAATGGATACTACTTGGAAACATGAGTTAGTGGTTTTAGGGAAAGATTTAGGTTCTTAGAGAGTTAATATATGTCCTTGTCTGGGCTGAAGAGATGGCTCAGCAGTTAAGAGCACTGATTGCTCTTGTAGAGGACCTGAGTTCGATTCCCAGCACCCACATGGCGGCTACTAACCATCCTTAACTCCAGTATTAAAATAAAAGTAATAAATAAAATATATTTGTAAAAATATATATATATATCCTTGTAAGTAATGAGGCTCTATGGATGCCAAGGTAAGAACTTCTGTTCCCAAATATGTATTATTCCTGAGACTTGAGAAATGTTGGTAAGAGGCATCATGGTAAAGGTGGGGAGAACTGAAAGTTTCCATAGCTAAAGGTTCTGAGGGGAACTTTAAAAGATAAGATAGTAAACACACACACAATTAGGAGAAATCAGGGTTTATTTTTTGCCTTGTGCAAGTGCAGACTTTCAGAAGAGTGATTAATGTCCTTCCACTGTATTCACAATACATGCTCACTTTATAAAATACAAAAAGGCAGAAAGACTGAGAAGACGCTGCTTCCCCCACTCAGAAAAATGTCTAGCTCACTACAGAACTTTTCTATGTCATCTTTTTTAACTACACAGCTTTTTCATATTTTTTTCTCTTTGCTATATAGCTTTTTCAATAGACATTTTCAGATTTAGAATGTTTCACTCTTTAAAATGTATACTAGAGGGGCTGGAGAGATGGCTCAGGACCTTGCAGAGGACTCGGGTTTGATTCCCAGCACCCATATGGCGGCTACGAACTGTCCTTAACTCCAGTTCCAGGGGAATCCGAAGCCCTCTTCTGACCTCTGAGGCATTGCACAGCACAGGTGCACTCACATACATGCAGGCAATACACTCATACACATAAAATAAAAATAATAAAATTTTTAAAAATGTATACTAGAAATTTTGTGAAAATTAATGCTTCCAGCTTCTGGCTCAGCCCCCAGTGACCTTTTAGCACCACAGAGCCCTTGGGAATTTTGGCCTTTTAAGGTGGATTTAACAACATAAATCATGATGAAAATTAGAGTTTTTTTCCCCTAGGGTTCTCCAAAGCCCTTCTGTGGGATAGAAGTGTATTTTTACCCTCTTACTTATTAATTAATGAGCACCTTGATCCCAAGCTGGAGTTAGACTGCAATCAAAGCTCAATAAACCTCACTGAGAATTGGCAATGAGATGTGTTCACAGATAAATATGCTTAACTGCCTTAAGTCTTTTTGGAACAAAGCTGGGAATAAATCATCTTCTTAAAAATGTATGTACTATTTCTTTACCCCTGGAGCATTCCGTGATATTCAACCTGCACAGCTCATATATAATCTAAAGCACAAATAAAATTTGAATTTAACCCCAGAGTAACTGGCTTCTTTGTTCCTCCCCTCCCCCAGGAACTTCTGTGAGTGTTTCTACCTTCAACCTGGTTACCATCTCCCTGGAGAGATATGGAGCCATCTGCAGACCCTTACAGTCCCGGGTCTGGCAAACGAAATCCCATGCTTTGAAGGTCATTGCTGCCACCTGGTGCCTCTCCTTTACCATCATGACTCCGTACCCCATTTACAGCAGCTTGGTGCCTTTTACCAAAAATAACAACCAGACCGCAAACATGTGCCGCTTTCTGCTGCCAAATGATGTTATGCAGCAGTCTTGGTAAGGCAGCACTGTGCTGATTCCCTTAAATATGACTTGGTATAAGTCGGCCCTATGAGAAAGTGCTTTGTCCAGTTGACTGGGGGCCAAGTTTCCTGGAGTGTGGGGGGTATTTATTCTTATTTATTGATAGCTTCATACATTTATATAAAGAATTTCAGTGCTTTCATAACCTCCATTCTCCTTTGTCATCCCCTCCCTCTCCCACTGAAACCCTTTTTTCACAAGGCTCCCTTTTTGCTTTCATGTCTTCTTTTTGTGTGCGACCCACTGAGTTTGAGTTTTTGCCAGTGCTAAAGGGGAGGCTGTTCACTGGAGCAGGGCAACTTATCAGTGGCTACATCACTGAAGAAAATGACATGCCCCCAACAACTATTAATGGCCAAGTCCCTCAGGGAGGAGTGGGCCCTGGTGGGTCCTGCCACAGAGGGTGGTTCTAACCTGATTTTAAAATGATTGTGGGAGTCTAGTGGGAACACTAGACTCTAAACAGCATATGTGCATTTATTCAATTAGTCCTCTCTAACCCTTCTAGAAGAAGTGCTGTTAGCATGTTCATTTTACAGATGAGGAAACTGAGACTTAGAAAGGCTAGGTTGGCCAAACTCACAAAGCTAGAAAGGGGCAGAGCTTCTGTGCTCCACCACTATGCTTATGTATCTACATGGTCTACAAGGAGTTTAGACTAATGATGTGCAGGGCTACCATTTTTTCTTTCTTCCTTCCTTCCTTCCTTCCTTCCTTTCTTTCTCTTTCTTTCTCTCTCTCTTTCTTTCTCTCTCTCTCTCTCTCTTTCTTTCTTTCTTTTTTTGACAAGGTCTCCTATACTCCCAGCTGATCTAGAACTCATTATGTAGCCCAGGTTGGCTTCAATCTTCCAGAAATCTGTCTACTTCTGCCTCCTGAATACTGGGATTAAAGGCATGGGTCACCACACTCAGCAGAGCTACAATTTTTCTAAAGAACTGAGGAGAGATCAGTGTCTCAAACCCTGTGTAGCTTTTTCTAGTGTTTTTTTTTTTACATTTAGTGTGTGTGTGTGTGTGTGTGTGTGTGCACATGTATGCCATGGTGTACTTATGCAGGTCAAAGGACAACTTGCAGGAGTCAGTTCTCTCTTTCTATAATGTAGGTTCTGGGAATAGAACTCAGGTCATCAAGCCTGGTGGCAAGGGCCTTTACTCACTAGGCCATCTTGCCAGCTCATTTCCCAGTGTTTATAACCACTGTGTACTTGCCCAGCTTACCAGCTGGAGAACTTCTGGCTAACCTCTGTAAGAGTCAGGTTCTGTATCTCTACAAGTAGTTAATAATATAAATATTTTAAAAATCTGTCCTACTGGACAGCTATCAGGTTCAGTGTATAAAAAATGTCATTAGGGGATGGAGAAATGGCTCAGTGGTTAAGAACACTGGCTGCTCTTCCAGAGGACCTAGGTTCAGTTCCCAGCACCCACAAGGAGACTAACAATCATTGGTAACTCTAGTTCCAGGGGATCTAATGCACTCTTCTGGCCTCAGTAGGCATTTCACACATGTGGTGCACCTACATACAGGCAGGCAAACATTCATAACACATAAAATAAAAATAAATAAATAAAGCTGGTCATGGTGACTCACTCCTTTAATCCCAGCACCTGGGAGGCAAAGGTAGGTGGATCTCTGTGAGATCAAGGCCAGCCTGGTCTACATAGTGAGTTCCAGGCCAGCTGGAGCTACATAAATAATAATAATAATAATAATAATAATAATAATAATAATAAAATATTTTAAAGTCTTTAATGAAAAGATACCCAAAATGTATTCTTGTGCTTACTAATTATAAGGATGCTTTGGAAGAAGGATATATCAAAAATGGCTCAAAATCCAGCCCATTTGTCTCTGCCTTCCTTCATTTCAGCCAAGTAGCACACACACAAAAAGCATTACACTGCAAATGAGAGAGATGTTTCCAAGATTTATCAAAACATGTCCATTTGCAATGAGAAATGGTCCAGTCACTGTATTTCTCTGACAGTTTTATGATTTAATCATGTAACCTTACACATGCCAGACTACAAAAGTGATTTAAGGACCAGACTTATAAAGCAGAAGGCTGTGAATCCTCAAGAATCGGCTGTGTTTAGAGAAAGCATAGCTCGATCCTGCCAGGCACAATACCTTGTGTGCCACCGTGCCAGCTTCACAGAGTGAAGAATGGACGCTTGGTGAGATTTATGCATGGCTTGTGGAGCAGAAGCAGCCAAACACTACATTTTGTAAAGCTGACAGGAGATTTTTCCATCATCCCAACCTAAACATTTGATGACTTAAAAAAAAAAAAAAAAGTCATCAATTATAAAGTCAACACATAGTAAAGCCTGAGTCTCAAGCACATTGGTCCCAGGAGTGTGTGGTTCAGCTCAAACTCCAGGCTGCTCCTAGCTGTGTGACTTTGGGGATGTTTTTGTTTTTGTTTCATTTTGTTTTTAATGTGTATGAGTGTACTGCTTGCATGTAAGTAGGTACACCCTTGTTGTACAATGCCTGAGGAGGTCAGAAGAGAATGTCCAATCCCCTGGAACTGGAGTTACAGACAGTTGTTAGCTGCCATGTGGGTGTTGGGAACCTAACCTAGGTCCTCTGCAAGAGCAGCCAATGCTCTTAACCACTGAGCCATCTCTGCAGCATGTTGTTTAAGCTCTCCTACTCTCACTTTTCTCATCTCTGACAGTACTAGCTACATCAACAGTTCTTATGGGTGTTAAATACAGTGATATATGCAAAGTGCTTAGTCTGAAGCATGTATTATAAGTCCTCAGTGGATGAAAGCTATCATAATAATTATTATGTATTGTTATTTCATAATAATTATTATGTATGTTATTGGAAATGTAATTCACACACTCTCGTTTTCTTATGATTTCATTATTTGTTTATTGTTGATATTGTTCTTTTCTGAAACAGGGTCTCATGGTGTTACTCAGGCTACTTTCGTTTGAAGCTCAAGCCACCCTCTGCCTCAGCCTCCTGAGTATTCAGGGCAATAAGCATATATAGCACTTTGCTTAGCTTTCCATTGTTTTTTAACATGATAATTGGTTTCAGCACAGAAAGAGGCCATGCTTTTTCCCTTCAACTTAACTAGTCTTTCATAGCTACTCTATTTAAATGAAGTAAACAAGTTCTAATGACCAAACCTCCAGACATGGAATTTTCAGGACTACTAAATACTGGGAATTAATGTGTCTGCTCAGACCAGTTGCACCCTCGTCATGTTTGCCCTATAAACTTGAAGGTCCGGAATTGCTGGTTATTGGATTCTTTTCATTGTATTAGGCACACGTTCCTGTTACTCATTCTCTTCCTTATTCCTGGAATTGTGATGGTGGTGGCATATGGATTAATCTCCTTGGAACTCTACCGAGGAATAAAATTTGATGCTAGCCAGAAGAAATCTGCTAAAGGTAACTATCTTTGAGCTGAATGTTTATACCGAAAGAACAAAATCTTGCTTTATAAGTCAACTAGATATACCCAGAATATATAGAGAGTATGCTAGAGATTTTTTTTAGTATTCTTATGAGACTTTGTGTCATAATACAGTCAGGAGACCCCCATGTTCTAGTTCTACATATATAAAATGGGGAAGTACTTCTCAAAAGGGCCCTAGGATTAAAAAGATAAAACAAACACCAGTTACACACAGATGGCCGTGTGTCCCAGGCTTTCTGTAATGTCACATTCATTAGATACCCACTGATGATTCTGTCCTGCACATGGGTCTCCCCAAAGCCATTAGGTGGGGTTTGATGTGTGGCTTACGAGCGTGCTTTCTGCCACTTGCTTCCCATCCCCAGCTTCCCGCTCATGCTCACCTCACTCCTTCCTCATTCCTACAGCCAACCAGCCACTAAAACTGTCCCCAACACCTGTGTTAACAAAACTTTTTCCTTTTCACCCTGCCCCTTGCTCGGCTCCTTACTATGTAGATAACACAGTCTCTCTGGCTTCTATTGACTTTTTCTCATTACTTGGAGTCCTCACAATAAGAGTAATCTGGCAACTTAACAAGCAAACAGAAGCCTTCCCCTTGGGAAACAAAGAATGGAGAAGCATGTTAATACTTATTTTGTAATATTCATAATAGTTTTCACCTTTATAATCTTTATGTATAGGATTTTATTTATGTATAAGATTGTTATATATATATATAATTTTATCCATTTTAACAACTTTTCATTTGAAGGAGAAAACTAGTAGAAACCAATACTGACCCCCAGCACAGGCCAGGTTGTCTGTCCATTTCTTCAGTTCGAGTTCAGCTCCTGGATGGAGGAAGTCAGAGGCTCCATGCCTTCTCTCTTGTCCTGAACAATAAAATGATGTCACTTTCCCATCCAGAGAGGAAGCCAAGTACTGGCAGCAGTGGCCGATACGAGGAGAGTGATGGATGTTACCTGCAGAAATCCAGGCACCCAAGGAAGCTGGAGCTTCAGCAGCTGTCCAGCAGCAGCAGTGGCTGGAGCGTCAGCCGCATCAGGAGCAGCACTTCAGCCGCCAACCTGATGGCCAAGAAGCGTGTGATCCGCATGCTCATCGTCATTGTGATCCTCTTCTTCCTGTGCTGGATGCCCATCTTCAGCGCCAATGCCTGGCGGGCATATGACACCATCTCTGCCGAGCAACACCTCTCAGGGACCCCCATCTCCTTCATCCTCCTGCTCTCCTACACCTCCTCCTGTGTGAACCCCATCATCTACTGTTTCATGAACAAACAGTTCCGCCTGGGCTTCATGGCCACATTCCCTTGTTGTCCTAATCCTGGTCCCCCAGGAGTGAGGGGAGCCGTGGGAGAGGAGGAGGAAGGGAGGACCATGCGGGCATCGCTGTCCAGGTATTCATACAGCCACATGAGCACTTCCGCTCCACCCCCCTGAGCTGCACCTGGCCTTCTGCTGTAGCAGGAAGGAGGGGACCCAGGAGCAAGAAGAGGGAAAGGAGGAGAAAGCAGAAGTGAAGGAGAAGGAAGACCCATTTCCCGTGGGAACTCTTCCATGTCTGCCTTTCATCCTTCACTGGGTTCCTGAAGTGGAGTCCTGACTTGCTTTCCAGGTAGTTCAAGTCAGGATATTTTCAGTGATGCTCACCATCAGAAAAACTTCAACAGACTAGTGATTGGAGTCCCACAACATGCATGCTACAAATGCACTGCCAGTCCATGTTCAAAATGGAGGTGTGGCCCCTACTGAGCTTTAGAAAGTTCTGGAACACCCCAAGTGAGATCTCTCCATGGTGGTGCCTGTCTATGCTCTGCTTCTTCTGTTCTTGTGGTATTATGGTCACTGCTTTCCCCACAGGGAGCCTATGACTCCTCCCCATACAAGCTACAGCATCCACCTTTTCATGTCCAAGGGCATACCAAGCACACCTCCTCTATTTCTGTGGTAGAGAACCGTCTGATTCTTTTGCAGTTTGGCATTGGCCAAGGACAATCAATGATGTAAGCTGAGGTCATCATCAGAAGAGCAGAAAGAATGTATCTAAAGAAAGGATTTAGCATTTATATTTTTCCAAAGAAAAAAGCACAAGGTCAATGGCTGGATGGAATATTATCTTATTGTCAGAAATGCTAAGTTGCAGAAGGATCAGAAAAAGCTTTTGTTCATACTGCAGTGATATGTGTTTCTTAACTTCTTTGTATCTTAAACTCCATGACGTCTTTGCCTCAACTAAATTACTCCTCTCCCTTCCAGAAAGACCTCCAGGTAGGAAGGAAAGTTGTATGTACCTGGCCAAGGGTGGAAACATGTAGTCAGGCCTCAAAGAAAACTGATATGCAGGGAATCAGCTAACAAGTAGCTTCTGAATGCCAAAACTGTCTATGCTTTCAAATACCATCTACATAGCTCTTGATAATTGGTTCATTATATATGTATGTATATGTATAAACTGAACATGTACTTATATTCTTTAAAGATTAGTATAGTTTATGTGTTAAAAATTGTTACTAGATATTGGAATTCAGCAAGTGTTCTCATTCCTCCATAAAAATTGGAGTTTCATGTGAACTTCGTTTCTTTGAAAAATTCATGTTGCAATCACTTACCTCTAAGAACCCTTTATAACAGAGATGAATTTCACATTGAGATACCAGGAAGTACATTTCTAGAGTGGTATGTACGGATCCTACCAACATGCCTGTCTCTCTCTCTCTCTCTCTCTCTCTCTCTCTCTCTCTGAAATTGTGTGTGCGTGCATACACACACACACACACACACACACACACACATTCTTCATCTTCTCCTCCTTCCCTCCATTCCCCTTGTCCTTCTTTCTTTTTTCTTTCTTTCTTTCTCTTTCTTTCTTTCTTTCTTTCTTTCTTTCTTTCTTTCTTTCTTTCTTTCTTTTGTTCTTGAGCAATGTTGTCCTAAATAAATTAGTGTGGATCTTTTTTTTAACAGAAGCCAGTTTACAAGCACATGTTGAAAGAAAAAAATACACAAAGAAAAATTAAAGGAAATCCATGGTTTCAAGCCTCTAAGTGTCCAAGAAGTAAACTTTCTTTCTGTCCTTTCCACATGGCCACATTCATCCACTGATCCAGGTCTGACACTCAGGTGTCATACACTAGTCCAGTGATTTCAATAGTTCCCAAACACCCCTGTGGGGGGGGGGGTAAAGGAGGAGAGTAGTACCAGATGTTGTAGAATTTGACAAGACTTGAATCTCACTTTGTTGGTTATGCCTCATGAAGCATGCTAAGGAGAAGCTGTTGAGCACATGACTACCTACCACACCCAACCTTTCAAGTCAGACTATTCCTTCCTCAAACTTCAGTCTTATTTGAATGGCTATCACCAGTCATCTCAAAGATTGATAAAGCTACAGTGATAAAAAGATGTAAGAGATAAAAATGTTTTCAATATCTAAATATATCTTGTATTATTTATAATTTTTCTGACAAAAGATGGAGGTGGCCCCTCTGACCCTCTGACAGTAATAGCATATAAATGAAGATAGATTCCCCCCCCCCTCCATTATTTGGAACCTCTCGGATTTCTAAAGGCATGTTAATCTAAAACAAGATTCCCAGATCCAGCTAATAAAAACACAGATAAGTAGCTAAATTCTAATTTCAAATAAGCAATGAATATTTTTTTTAGTTTGAGTAGGGCTAGTACAAGAAAACACATTCTATTTTATCTGCAAACCCTACTTTGAAATATTTTAAAGCATGTAAAATATAAACAAGATTTCCCAAGAGTACAGTAATAAAAATGTCTTTGCTGATTTAATTTCTTAGAAAGTCTTACACTTAATGGAAGCTATGTGTGTGTATGTGTGTGTGCGCTAGAGAGAGAGGAAGAGACGGAGAATGAGAATTAACTTTCAGTATATGTGATCTTTGGAAGGCTTTTACTGATTAAATCTTTTTATATAATGCTATTCTCATACTTTGTTGAGTCAACTGCCTTTGCTTCATGCTAAACTAGATTACTGATTTGCATATGAATTAAAGAAAATGAATACATGGATTTTCCGGTATTTTCTAGTGTCTCCTAGTAGTTTCCCTTCAATAGCAACGCAATATATTGGAGCACTGGAATGAAAATTTGTGTCTTTGCTCTTTCATTAAATCATATGTCTCAGTGGTTCTTGCACCCTAGGCTCAGTGGTAACATCTCCAAATGTACTTGTGGTGGTCAGTGAGCAGTGTCTGTATATCTAGGGTTTGCTTACACATGTCCCTGTGCTTAACAAGTGTTCCTCTGTTGAAGTAAATTGTCATTTTCATGAGTGAGGACTGGTGTTGAATTTCTACTGTATGCTCTTCCTGTGTTTTGCCCAGTAAACCACATACTGTGAATGTGCAATAAATGTTGTGACTGACTTCTGTTGTGCCTTTTATGCTTTTGGTGGTTTCTCTTTCAATCCATAGCTATGATTCTCAGTAAGGGGAAACTCACTCTTGGAGGAGGAGTAAAGTTTCTGTAGGATCCCCCCACCTCTGTATGCATCCACCCCAGGTTCTCGTGTGTGACCATGTGTTGTGATCTCTCCCTCCTCTTTTACTCACTCTCATAATACAAGTCAGGGGAAGAGAGTGAATAGATCCCAAGATGATACTGATGGAAATATCCTCCCTTGGAACAGTGTTGAGATACATATGAACAAAACCTGGGGACCGCCAGTCTGTGGTGTTCTTCAGCTTACCTCCCCTGGCCTTTATTCGCTTTGAGAAGAACAGTAAGAACCCACGCCTACCTACATTTCCTACCCTTGCTCAAGAACCCAGCTCATTCCTGTGGCTCCCTTGCTATCTGCCCATCCATCCATTTGCTCTCCTGCAGAACCCCATTGGGAGCCTTGCTGGACCACTCATGCTGCATCTGCCAATTCCCTGACTCTTGTCTCCAAATGTGCTACTTTCCTCCCTCTTGGACTGGAGATCTCAGACTTCTCTGGCCTCCTGCTTTCCCTCAGATGGAACACAGCTTCCTAGTTTCCTAAAGCTGCTCTCACAGACCAAAGCCAACCCTACTACTCCACACCCTTAGAAGCCCAGCCCAGATGGAATGCAGGTTTTTCTAGCACCATAAGAGATCAGACGGGGGCAGATTATTCAGCTCATGTATTGTGGAATGCTGTCTTTCCTCCTGGCATAACATGGCTGTTACCATCTTGATCAGTGTATCTACAACTACCCACAGGAGACTTTCACAAGATAAGACCTGTGGAGGATCCCTAATGAAGCGGGGAGGGGGGTCTCCCTAATCCTCATTAGGAGGTCATTAAGCCTTCACCGGAGATTCCAGCTATCCCCTCTCAGCTTCGTGTAATTCTGCCACAATTTCATATGGTCTTGGGAGTATATAGGAGATTAGAAGTTGGAAGTTTAACTGAAGGGAGGACTGTTCTTTGGGGAGGTCGTCACCCATGCTGGGGTAGGACTTTTCAGTGATGCAGCTGTTTGGTGTCACCCACGGTTCTGTAACTTTCCTCACCTATCTCCTGTAAGTAAGCCCAATAAGCCCATCTGTTCACCAAGCATGACTTGTGTAGAACTGCTTCTTTGGCTTATCTTTGGTGCCCTATCTGGGGGTGAGTAGACTTTGCTAACATCTCCCAAGGAGGAATTAACACAACAACGTAGCATCATTCACAGCATGATGGGCGCCCAATGATCTTCAAGGGAATAAATGGATGAGTGAATGGATTTGAATGGAAACTTTTCTCAATACCAATCTTTCCCTGGCCCACGTTCCCAACCAGGAGTCTGCAGTACAGATACGCAATTATTTTTGATCAAGGATGAAGCCAACTGGGAAGTCAAGCTGTTTCCAATTGTATACAATGTCCAGAAAATCTGATTTTCATGTTCACTGGCCATAAACACTACCTCTGTGAGTAAAAAGGATAAAGTCCAGAGATTGTGTCCAAGTCCCAGTGTCTGTCACTGACTTGCTGTCAGGCTCCATGCAAGTCATACTCCTTCCTAGGAGGTCAACTCCTCTTGGGGTGGTGCTTTCATGTGTGATACTATGTGATTCAGCGGTTTAAAGTTTGCTATTTTATTATCATTATTTTATGCCTTCCCTTAATTTCATTGACTTCGCACTAGTTTTATAAACAGAGAAACTCCTTGACACCCAAGCATGCAAACATCTCTGAGGAGAGCTGTCAGGGCAAAGGAGTCAAAGACAGCCCCCAAGTTCCCAGACCCTTCTAAATCTGCTTCTTAGTGCAACTTGTAGAAAGCTTATCCCTGGGATGCTAATCCCATTCCATTAGAAATTTCAACATAAAAACCTACTCCCAAATTAAACCTGGCCCAGGACAGACTGGGCTGTCAGCAGTCAATGAGCCCTGCTCCATGAAGGCACTGTGCAAGCAGCACTGGTAGCCGTAAGCACTGCTATTACATGCAGTTTATTTAAATCTCCAAACAATGTGTGTGATGTATCATTTCCCATATTTTAAGGTGAAGAAATTGACGTTTAGAAGGGAAGGGTTACATGTCAAGTTTGGACAGCTAATAAATGGCAGGGACAAGGTCCATCCCCATTTCAATTCCATCAGGCTGCTGTTGGATTAGTGACATTCACCATTCTAAGTAATGAATAGCCAACTATTTTGTTTCCAGTAATGCTTCCCAGTTTGTAGTCCTTGCGTTATAACCACAAAGAAAAGTAGTTCCTGCCTCTGCGTCCTTCTCCTGCCTCCCTGTGGACACTGACCTGACTGACTTCCCTGCATGGGGAGGATTTGAAAGCTGGTTCTTTGCACTTCTGTCCTAGATGCTTCCAGCCCTGTGTTTATTTTTAGGAAGAAAATACACTTTGCTACCTCACAGGAAAGCCAAGAGACGGTATCAGTAAATGAGTTTTCACCTCTTTGGCAAATTATCTGCATTATTAAGGCAGATCTGTTTCCTCAGAATCATCAGAAGATAATCACAGGCAAAGTTTTCCATCAGTCTGCAGGGTAAGGCCTCCTGGTTTCCCCTTTACCTGTTAC